TTATCCTTATCCTCAATTTTCTTTGCTCCGGACTCGATCCTTTTAGTGAGCTTTTGGAGCATTTTCATAATGGTGGGGTCAGTCCCCGAGTCGTTTCCATTTGGCCCTTCGGGCGTTGGTTCAGCGCGTCAATTGTTTTCATATTTAGCTACACTCGGGGTCTTATTTTGACTTTGAAGTTGAGCGATGGCGATTTGCTAAGCCTGCAACATCTCAAATATCACTTGGAGGCTGACTCCCCCATCTCCTACTCCTGGTGTTCCTTGGTTCCCTGGTCGAGCGTCCCTGCGTACACTCCCTTCGGGGTCTGTGCCTAGATTGGTGTTTATGGCAATATGAGAACCCACATCAACTCTATGTTTGGCATTTCCCCAGGGTTTGCCGGTGGTACACCAACCCCTATATTGTTGTTTTCTCCAAGATCCTCATTGTCATGAACATGTGCATTTTGTGTGCTAGACATGTTTTAGCCTGAGAATCAAAAAATCTTGACAAGAAAAAGTGTAAAGATAACGCGTGTAACAAGAATCAGTAAAAAAATAATCACTATTATCTTTATCCCCACAGTGGGCGCTAAATTATTTACCTCGAAAAATACGAGTAACAATTAAATTTGATATGTGATTTTAAAGATACGTGATTTAATTCAATACCAATTAATAATCAAGAAATATGAAGTAAAAATAAAAGAGAAAGGTGAATCAAACTAATTTTACTCAACAGCGGTGACCTCGAGCACACGGACCTCGAGGTAGGCTTTGTATAATAAGAACAAGTATAAAAGCAAAGTAAGAACAATAGAGCTAGGACAATGCTGATGAAAAGCGGGCGAAAAAGGTAGAGTATATTCTATTCTCAGTACTCAGATGATCTTACAAATGATTGGGGTCCCTTTTATATAATAGGGGAACCCAAAATAAGGAATATTTCTATTTACAGTAGGGAATATTCTTGATACAGCTGTCTAACCGCCTAGTACGGAATTGTACAATCCTATTCCGGGATGTGCGCCATGACTTTGGGGATTTGGCAGGAATCCAGCTCGTTCTGGTACAAATCCATAACGGTACTATTTTGGGGTCGAGCTCACTTGACCCCCGGTATTCCTCACACTCTTATCTCCGGGCGTCGTTGCCACGACCCAAACTGATGGACCGCGACGGGCACCCGGTACCTTACTCAACCGAGTACCAACATAACGTATCTTTTCATGTCATACAATCATAATAACTGAGCCGGAGAGGCTGCCGTGAAATAGGTAGAATACAACATGTAATACCAATCTATACATAAGACATGCGGGCCTACAAGCCCAAAATAACCACTCGTACCCTGAATATAGGCCGACAAGGCCATACAGTATCTTATGTACATGACATCTGTCTACAAGCCTCTAAGAATACGAAATTTTCATAAAGGCCGGGACAGAGTCCCGCCATACTAAACAATACACGTCTAAATCATACTAACCAAACAAGCAACTCCGAAGCAAATGGAGCGCACCATTATCTTCCGCTCTAGCCTACTTGGAGGCCTCTCGACCTGTCTATTGGGACCTGCGGGCATAAAACGCAGCGTCCCCAGGCAAAAGGGACATCAGTATGAATAATGTACCGAGTATGTAAGGCACATAAATAAGTACATAACAGACATGGAAGAAATATAGAGTAATTGACTCAACCTGTAAGTATGGAAAACTTTGTAAATCATACAATACTTATAGTGTCATGCATATGCGTATGAATGTCATGTCGTGCATAGGTACATGTTACATAATATCATCAGCCTCTGAGGGCATCCCATCATATCATCTCGGCCACTGTGGGCAAAATCATCAACGCATACCAGCTGATCAGGTGGTGGTGCGTATATAACGCCATAACCTTTCTCATATCCCATATACATATATATACATACATATATACGCGCATATACCGCCATCTGATCATGGGTCAATGTACATGAATGCTATGCATGAAAAGTACGTTAATAAAATATTTCGGAATGTCATAAGACCATTTTGCCTTTGAGTAATATCATAAAGTAAATTCTTTTCAACTTTCATATTTTTCTGAGACCCATGAACAGATGATAAAATATTATGACACGTGGAAATTCAAGAACATAGATATCTCTAATACTTCTATGAATAGAGTCATTTATGGAATTTGTGCATTTGCACGTTTCATTTGTGTCGTACAGATCATCTCAAAAGAAGGAAGGGATGGCCTTAACATACCTGAAGTAGGAAAAACTCCGTATAATATTCTTGGTAAAGATTGCACCGTACTCTTTTGTAATTGCAAAATTTTACGTTGCTAAGGCTTTAACAATTTTCGTTGGATTGGTTGAAGAATTTCGTTGCTTAAGGAAGCATTCAGTTTCTGGTTAAAAATGTTTGGAGGATGAAAAGGTTAACACTTTCTAAGAAATGGAAAATGGCAGAAATGGCTAACGTTCCTATATCTTTGATTATGAACTCTTTTGAATGAAATATTGCCTTGGTCATTTAAAGCTATTATACTATAAAAGGTGTCTTCAATATAAGGCATTAGGTTGCCACCTCTCAAATGATTTCAAGAGTCATTTTCTTGGTTAGGGAGGGCTGCCACGTAGGGGGTGGGCAAGGTTATTTTATAATATTAAATTAATTAATTAGGTAATATCCCGCTACCCGGTAATTAACCAATTACCCGTATGATTAAGAATCGTCTCAAATTAGTTAAAATTCTACTAATTTTTTTAATACACTTTATATATCCCACTATCATGGTCATATGATACCTTGTATGGTACTAGTCCATAAATACCGGGTATTTTAGCTCCACCCATATTTTATCCCGCCATGCCAAACTTTGACGAAACTCATTTTCTTTGATTTAGCTTCCTCTCTCAGCTTCACGAATTTACTCATCACTTTAGCATAATTCTTATAATCTCCAAATAATCTTTTACTTGGACTGATGTCAATTACCTTACGACAAATTCAACGTACAATACTACAGGGTGCAACACCGTCGTAACTTAATACTGCGAAGCGTAACATTACCGTAATGTAATACTGCAAGGCGTATTATCATCATAATATAATACTGCAGGACATAACATTGCCGTAATATTGCGAGGTGTAACAATCGCACTCTGTCTTCAAGCTCAAGTCATGTTAGCCGGTCTCGAACTCGATCTCGGCCGGACTTGAGCCTATAAATCGCAGGCACACGATTTTAACCGTATACATCTTTTTTCTTAAAAAATACACTGAAAGCTATAGTATGTATTCTCCAAAAGTAAAATGCGATTGATGATTGATGAAAATCATCTTGGACGGCTGGAAATAAGAAGTATAAAAGGGACTTTTTATGAGCATCTCACGGTTTTTTATTATATGAAATTCATTGGCCTCACTTATCTAAATTTGTGCTATAAAATTCAATTTGTGATCTCTGGTTAAGGAGTCTGAACAGACCTTTACTATTCCATCTATTAAAAAGGATTTTGTTTTCAGAACTTAAACTCGAGATCTCTAATTAATGACAAAAAGATCAATACTATTCTACCATAATCTTTACTGGTACGAGTACATATCTCATGCTCATTTTATGGCTCTTTTGTCCCTTTTTTAAACGCTTACCATGCTAGTTCAAAGTTTTTATAATTGTAAAATCTAAGAACCTCTTGAAGGGTAGGCGGTTGACATTGGCAGGTACGAGAAGAGGCAGAGGGCGGCCTAAGAAGTATTGGGGCGAGGTGATCAGGCAGGACATGACGCGGCTTCAAATTTCCGAGGACATGGCTCTTGAAAGGAACATGTGGAGGTCGAGCATTAGGGTGGTAGGGTAGGGGGTAGTCGAGAGTTCTTCCCTCTTTGTACCGGGTAGTCTGATAGGGTTACCTTTAGGTTTGTTAGCAGTCTTTGTTGTATTCACATTGTTGTTTTGCATAGTTTTGTGTTATTGTCCGTTCACTTATTTGTTGTGGTCATTTTCTTTCTGGTATCTTTTGTTGTTACATGTCTTTTCTCTTATTTTTTTTCTGATATTATTGCCTTCCTGTTGAGCCGTGAGTCTCCTGGAAACAGCCTCTTTGTTCTTTTCGGGATAGGGGTAAAATCTGCGTACTCTCTACTCTCCCCAGACCACACTAATGAAATTTTACTGGGTATGTTGTTGTTGTAAGAACCTCTCCAAGGTCTTGCTACCATCAAAATAAGATATGGAGAATTTAACAAAGACCTTTTCTTTGGTCGTTACGTTGCAGAGTTTTTCAAGAATCAAAACTCCAAATAAGCCTACTTGGATAGTTGGATTGATTGAGACGGAAAAAGAATAATTGGCCTTGTCGAGGCTTTTAGGAATTATTTAATTGAATAAAATAAATGGCCTACATTTATCAAAAGCAAGTGGAATCAAATTAAATATAAGAAGTTGCTCTCTACAAGTCTTCAACTATACAATACCAATTGGATAATGTTATTTAATATGGTAAAGCGAGAAAAGTCTATAAATCCTAGATTGATGCCATCCCAAATATCAGTGGTTAGAGTTGAAAATCTCACCATGCCTTTTGACCTTTGGTATAATTGTAAAGTTATACCTGAAAGAAAATGCTTAGCTTGGCACTTATAATTGTAAATATTTTGAACAAAAACAAACCAAAAGCTAAAATTCTTAATTTATAGCTTAAAAACCACTAAAATCCAAACGAACTCTAAATACTTACGCAGCAAGGGCCATTGGCGTACTTTATCTTTTACAAATAATTTAATATCAAGGACCCACCTTAGGAATGTCAAACATTGTCGATCGGCTGATTGATTCTATTTTCCTTAAGACTAAGAAATTAAATAAATCAAATTTTCATTCTCAAACTCCCTATGGCAGCAAGCTTCATGCCTTTATCCTCTAAAAAGATACTTCAATCATTATTAAACACTAGTTTACAAATTCGCAATTAATTGTCAACGTGTCATCCACACAATCACCAATTGTAATATTGTATCCTCCTTTCTCCTATAAAATCCCCCCAAACTGTGTTCATCACAAATACAAGAAGAACTTGCTTTAGTGATTACACTTTCTTTTAATTACAACGAATTAAAGATCTCTCATCTCCAACAAAAAAAAAAAAAAAAAAAAAAATGTCCTGCTGCGGAGGAAGCTGTGGCTGTGGGTCTGGTTGCAAGTGCGGTAACGGTTGCGGAGGGTAAGTTCTGATTCCGTACGATCATTCATTATTTTAAGCTATAGACATCGAAATCTAGAGTCACTAGGTTCATAATAAGCATCATCTTATTATATGTATAAACTTTTCTTCTTTTTCGCATGTACTGTATACATAATTTTCGTCAAAAATACTATAATGAGTTTAGACAGGATCCGCCATTAATTTGCCCGGGTGCCTGAACCATTTTTTTTTCTTTTTCACCCCACCAGAAAAATTATATAAAGATGTCAATTTGTTAATTACTTGTGTTTTTTGATGATATTGTAGATGTGGGATGTACCCAGACTTGGAGAAGTCCACTACTTTTACCATCATTCAGGGTGTTGCTCCCATGAACAAGTACGTCTAATTTTATCTTTCGAATTCCTTTCTTTCTATGCGTTTTTTGTTAAAACATATATAAGTTGTCTCCAGTGAAACTAATTAACTCCAAAAAAAAAAAAAAAAAAAAAAAAAAAATTAGAAACTAGAAAGCTAAAAAAATATACTTGAAATGTTGCAGCTTTGAGGAATTCGGAGAGAAAGCAGCAGAAGGAGGAAATGGGTGCAAGTGTGGATCAAACTGCACCTGTGACCCTTGCAATTGTTAAGATTATTTCACAGTAATTTAAGTGTGTGCTATAAAAGCTTTTGTAATAATAACGATAAGACTGCAGCCATGGAACTGTGATCATCAGCTCTTAGGTTTGTGTGTCGTGGCTTTTCTTTTTAATTTTGTTTCTCTATGTAATGTTTTTCTGCTGTGTGATTTGGGCTGTAACACAAACCTATCATATCAATATACACTACTATATGTTTGTTCCTTAAATTTTTATACTTCGGTCGATATTAATTAAGCCAATTAATACTAATTGGACATGAGAATTAACTGTAAATATGAAGATTAAAATGGAGCATGTTAGCTGCCATGGATCTGAGGTTGAGCTTGAGGAAGAAGACATGCAAGAGAGCAACACTGAGAGAATGAGAAAACAAAATTTGTTATTGAGAAGAAAACTGATACAACCGTGTATCTGTACATGAGTGTGTTGTGTATTTATAAAGCTACAGTATAACTGACTTCTAACACTGTACTAACTAACTTACTTCTAACTACAGTCTACAGTTACATTTTTAACTATAGTTAACTTACTAGCTTGCTTTACTAACTCCAGTCAACACTCCCCCTCAAGCTGATGGTTGATATACACTCTTCACTCCTAGTTTGTTCAGTAAATGATCATGTTGAAACTTCCCCAAGCTCTTTGTCAGTAAATCTGCTAGCTGATCTTTAGTATGCACATACTCTTTCTTCAGTCGTCCTTGACATATTTTCTCCCTAACAAAATGACAATCAATGTCAATATGTTTGATCCTTTGATGGAAAATAGGATTAGCAGTTATTTGTATAGCTGCCTTGCTGTCACATATTAGACTTATAGGCTGCTGAGTTCTAACTCCAAGTTCCTTAAACAACCCTACCATCCAAGTGACTCCTGCTGCACATGAGGCCATACTTCTCAATTCAGCCTCATCTAAACTCCGAGACACAGTCATTTGTTTCTTTGACTTCCAAGACACCAGTACATTTCCAAATTTGACCAAGTACCCAGTAACTAACCTCCTTGACTCTATACATGATCCCCAATCAGAATCACAGTAGGCAACTAGCTTGTCTGTACTTTCTGTAGGCATAAGTAACCCCAAGCCTGGTGCTTCTTTGATATATCTCACTACTCTAAGAGCAACTTCCATACGTGACACTTTGGGACAGTGCATATACTGACTTAAGACCTGAACTGCAAAGGCAATATCAGGTCTTGTCATGGTGAGATACAACAGTCTTCCCACAAGTCTCTAATAACAACTAGGATTCTTGAGTTTCTGATCACCTTCTTGTTTGCAGTTCTGAATACATTTGTCATACTCTACAGATGTGAGTTTTTGCTTCAACTCTAATGGTGTACCACAAGGCTTTGTTCCACCCAAGCCTGGTTAAGATATCACTCCAGTGCATACGTTCTTTGACACATAAGGATTCCTTTCTTTGATCTAACAAATTCAATTCCCAGAAAGAATTTCAATTCCCCTAGATCCTTCATCTTGAACTTCTTCTGCAACTCTATTCTGGTGCCACAAAGTAACTTATCATTGTTCCCAGTGATCAACAAGTCATCCACATACACAAGGATGATGAATGTGCCATTATTGGTGCCTCTGATGAACAATGAATAATCATAGTGACTCTGTTTGAATCCCATCTGCAGAAGTACCTCTATTAACTTCATATTCCACTGCCTTGGTTCTTGTTCAAGATCATATAGGGACTTGCGGAGTTTGCAAACCTTCTTAGTCTCCCCCTGTCTAGCGAACCCTTGTGGAATATGAATGTACACCTATTCAATCAATTCATCATTAAGGAATACATTATGAACATCCATTTGGTAAATCATATAGTGCTGGGAGGCAGCAAGAGCTACAATGGACCTAACTGTTACCATTTTAGCTACAGGAGAGAAGGCTTCACTGTAGTCCGGCTCTTCCTTTTGACTGTAGCCTTTGGCTACAAGTCTGGCCTTGTATCTTTCAACCTCTCCTGAGGCTTTGTACTTGATTTTGAAGATCCACCTACACCCTATTGGTGTTTTTCTAGGAGGCAGATCAACTATGCTCCAGGTTTTATTTTCCTCTAAGGCTGCAATCTCAAGCTTCATAGCTTCTACCCACTGAGGATTAGTGGCTGCCTCACTGAAGGACTGAGGCTTAGAACATGCTGAATAAGCTAACAAGACTTGACTGTAAGAGCGAGTAATGTGAGAATAGCTCACATAAGCTGAGATAGGATAAGAACACCTAGTAGCATTAGACTGCACCACATAATCTTGCATCTATAAGGGACCCTTACTGGGCCTGGAGGATTTTCTGACCTGAACAGGTACAACACCAAGTGAGTTAACTATTGCATTACGGGCTACAACATCAACAGCTGCTGCAGATTAAGGGTGAGCCTCATCATGAGTAACAATATGTGTTATATTATCAGGGAGGTCACCTGCATGATTTATAGACTGGTCTGGAATGTGGTGAGGATGAGCAAGATGAGAACAAGAAGGCTCCCCCTCAGATGTAACACCAACCTCATGTGGAGGAACATTAGCACCAATAGATGAATCTGTGGCAGGTAATCTGGGATCTGCACTAATTGGTGAAAGCAGATCCAATATAGGAAAGATAGTATTACCAGGAGATAACATATGCTTAAAAGGAAAATTGTCTTCCTGAAAAACAACATTTTTGTTAACAAATAGAGACTTAGAGTTCAAGTCTTATAGAACATAACCCTTTTGAGATGAAGAATAGCCCAGGAAGACAGTAGGAATGGCTCTTGGTGAGAACTTGTCAACAATTCTGGGACATACTGCATAACATAGACAACCAAAGACCTTTAAGTGTTGCAGAGAAGGAGGATGCAAGTAAATCAACTCAAATGGTGATTTGTACCCAAGTGTTCTAGATGGCAGCCTGTTGATGAGGTAGACTGCAGTGAACCCCAAAACCTTAGATGAACAGCAACATGAAACCTAAGAGACCTGGCCATGTCTAAGATAGTTCTGTGTTTCCTCTCAACAATTCCATTTTATTGAGGGGTGTAAACACATGTACTCTGATGAAAGATGCCAAGACTGGAGAGAAAGCGTTTGAATTCATTACTGAAAAATTCACTACCATTATCAGTTCTTAAGACTTTTATGGAAGCTGAAAACATGTTCTTTATTTGAGTTAGAAAGTCTCTTAGTACAACTATAACTTCTGACTTGAAGTTGAGCAGAAAAATCCTAGTGTATCTGGTATAGTCATCAACTACTGTGACAAAATACCTCTTACCAGTATAAGAGAGAACTCTATATGGCCCCCAGATATCACAATGAACTAAGTCAAATGCATATTGAGATACTGATGTACTTAGAGGAAAAAGCAGTCTAGACTGTTTAGCAACTGAGCATACAGGACAGTGATGAGTTCTTGTCTTTAAGGTAGTAAAAGCATCTAACTTGCTTATTATATCAATAGGATCATGTCCTAATCTCATATGCCATACTACTTCAGAATCAAGTAAGTTGGCTGTGGGAGCACACTTATTTTCTGGTGTTGCTGCAGAATACTGTGATGATCCTCCTTGAAGTATGTACAAACCATGCTCCTCCTTACCAATCCCCTTCACTTGACCACTGTAGAGATCCTAGAAAATGTAGAAGTCAGGGAAGAATGCATGTTAGCTGCCATGTATCTGAAGGTTGAGCTTGAGGAAGAAGACATGCAAGAGAAGACAACACTCAGAGAGTGAGAAAACAGAATCTGTTATTGAGAAGAGAAATGATACAACCGTGTATCTGTATATGAGTGTTTTGTGTATTTATAAAGCTACAGTAAAATTGACTTCTGACGTTGTAATAACTAACTTACTTCTAACTAAAGTCTACAGTTATATTTCTAACTATAGTTAACTTATCAACTTGCTTTACTAACTCCGGTCAACAGAGCAAATGTCGTTTTAGCTTCTCTGCTATACTCAAAAAGGAGAAGAAAAGTTTAATTGGTTTTTCAAAAGGACAAACAGAACCACAAGTTGGTTTTTAATTCGTTTGAATATGGACACGTTTAATTTAGATTTAAGAGCGGAGTTGAACTTATTAATCTTAAAATTTGATGAATCCAAATTTGGTCAGGCAAGTCGTCCAAGGAATGTAAAGAATTTAATCCTTCAATTTGAATTTGATATGCATAGAATTGAATCTGAAAGTTATAAAATCCAGTTCTAAAACATATACAAAAAATAATGTCACCAAAAAACATTTCAAATTTCATGTACTGTTATGAAAATAATAAAAGAACAAGAACAATATTGCAGATAAAGAGTAGGGAGAGAGAATTCTTATTGATTTGGGGTTAATTATAATGGAATAGAACCCTCTATTTATAGGGAGAGGGTGACTTAGCCACCAAGTAATAAACCCTAAAATCTCTCTAAAATCTAAACATAGACATTCACCATAAATAAAATTCTATTTATAACACTCCCCTTGAATGTCTATTCAACAGATAATGTGTCTCGTTAAAACCTTAACTAAAATAAAACTCAGTGGGAAAAAAGTTCTAGTGAAGGATAAAGAGTACACTTGTTTAGTAATATGCCTTTTGGTTGCCTCGTTAAAAACCTTGTAAGGAAAATCCAGTGGGACAAAACCTTCTAAGAAAAAAAGAGTGCAACACGCATTAACTCCCCCTGATGAGAGCATCAATTCACATCCTTGAGCCTTCGCATCCCAATCTTGTGCACCATCTTGAAAAGATCATTGGTAGAGATTTGATAAACAAATCAGCCATTTTATCACTTGAATGAATATGTTTCACCTTGAAATCATTATTCCTGATAGATATGTAATGTTTTCATAAAATGCCGTGGAATGGCTTTTTCAATATCTCCATAGAGATTTTCCCTATCATATTATCATGCTTATAGTTATAGCAAGATACATATGTGCACAAATTGCACTTATCATATGGTACTTCAGGACCAAGAATCATATATGCTTCAAGCGATTTAAATCCTTCAGGGGTTGTCATATAAGTTAAGTCACATAAGCCATTTAAATAGACTTTAGATGCATATCAAGTTTTCATGTCATGCTAGACAAATAAGATATCGCAAACTGATTGCACATACAATTGACTTTATACTTTCAAGTGTTTGAACAACATAGACAAAACTATATGTCTTTCATATGAAACCAATTCTATTCGAAATTGTTTCTCCAGACTTAAGATCCT